AAGGCACCTCCTGCGAACCCCTGGTCTCCCTGCGGCTGGGCCCCCCTCTGTCCCTCTCCACCTGCACCCCACAAGGGGATGGGTAGGGGCTGAGCCGGGTCCTGCAGACTCAGTAGGGCATTCCAGGCCCTCCCACCCCCCTTGACCAGGAGGGGGCTGAAGACAAAGGACTGGATTGTCCCATGGGGCTCCCGTCCCCTTCTTCCAGGGGAGAGGTCAGGGGCGGATCATCTGACCAGATGGACACGAGGTCTGGTGGGAGCGTACCCTCTGCAGCCCGACGAAGTGTGGGGACAGAAGGGCTCGCCCTCTGAGGGGTCGGGCCGGACACCATCCATGCCAGCATCGGCAGAGGTGCAGTCACTGGCCTGGTCAGGCCTGCGGAGCCTGGGGTTGTGCCCACTGGCTCCACTGCTGGGGCAGCCCCGCTCAGCAAGGCGGGCTTCCCCGGTCTCCACCGGGGACCAGCCCCGTGTGAGGGAAGCCCTCATGTCTTTGTTTTCTGAGGTGTGTGTGTGTGTGTATGCTTGACAAATTGAATTAATATTTTCCAGCTACTTTTAAGAAATGTCCTCTACGAAGTCAGAAGATGTTTTAAACTGAACATATGCTCTTGGACTTTTGGCCTCTGGCCCTTCCTTGTTTAATCAGTACACCCACAGGGATTTTTTTTTTTTAATTTCAATAAAGTACTCTAAACTCTGATGATCCTTTGTCCCTTCCCACCGGCGCTGGCCAGACGAAATGCTGGCCTGCGGCCTCCTGGATCACACGCTGCAGGCTTCTATCACCCTCCGTCTCCACTTGCTCTGCGTTTGAGTGAGAGAGTGAGCTCCGGGTGAAATGTCACAGAGCAAATTGTTTTTTACTTAAAAAAAAACAACCCAAAACAATTGTGTCAGACATACACAAAATCATTTGTGTATTTGATACTCTGCACGGACGATTTGATACTCGTGCACAGCGGTTTGGGTTTACAGGAAAAAGCAGTGTGAGGGTGTGTGTCTACAGATGACGCATGGCAGGGTCGGGGTGGGAGAGTGTGTGGTGTGCCTGTCCTTCCCTCCCGTCGCTGTCCACTGAAGACCTTCTAGTGGGTTTTACTAGGATTAACCCCTGGCTTATTGGCTGTGGCTCTTCTGAGATTCCTCTGGCTAAGATTCAAACCACCCACTCTGGTTGGTAGCTGAGCAACATGTTCATTGCGCGGCCTAGGGACCTAGAATTCGGGGAAACCCTCTCAGTGCTGCCCCAGCCGTGTCTTTAGCACAAACCATGTCCTGGGGTCCCAAACGCTAGCTCTGCACCTCCAAAGAGCTCCAGCTCCCAGGGCAAGGCGGCTGGAGGACAGTTGTCCAGCTCTGGAGGGCGGGCACGGACAGCGCCGAGACCACCCTCAGGTGGACTTCCCACCAGCCCTCTCCTCGTTGGGCTTCCAGCCTTTGCCATCTGAGCCTGCAAGGCATTCTTCCACCCAGACCCCCCTCCCCTGCAGCGTCCTAGGGCTCGGGTGTGACGAACCACCTTGGACTGCCCTCGGGAACGTCCAAGACCTGATGATTCAATCCCACTGCCAGTCTCCCGGGTTCGGACTCCTAGCAGACCTAACGGATGGAGTAGAACGCCTAGGTTTCAGAAACCCCCTGCTTTACAGACAACAGGGCTTCATCTTTGTCCCCCTCAGTACCGCTGGGGGGCTCAAGGGGGCTTTTCTCTTGACCCTGGAGCCAGTTAGTAGCCCAGAAACAGCCTCGGTAGTTCTCTGCAGGCTCTTCCTAGCCCTGCGTTTAAACACTGCGCCACCAGGCGTCCTCGTTAGGATGCTAACGAAACTCTAGCTGCCATCAACGATAAACGAGGACAGTTCACACCACTTAAGGGTTTTTAACACCGTCCAGGTGAACTGGGAATAGATGGTAGAGAGGGGCGGGACCTACAGTTTCGGAGCGCTCCTTAGTTATCAAATCGACGGCCAAGCCAGGTGCTCCCATCTACGCGCTTGTAGAGCAGAACTGCTTTGCAGGGTGGGGAAGGAGGGAGGGAGGGGTGATGCCCACAGGATGGGAGGAAAAAGACAGGTGCGTCAAGGTTGTTACCTAGAGGCCGGTGGAGTTCGGGGTTGAATTAGAAGGCCCTGTTCATCGCAGTTCAACTTACAAGAAATGCACGTCGTGGGTCGGTAATTAAAACGAGAGCACGGACCGGTGTGCACGTCAGTTTCCTGTCGGTCATAAAGATGAACGTTAGGAGCCTGCATTCCTCTTAGAAAGTTGGGAAAGAGTACCCCCCCACGCCCGGGGTGGACACTTGTGCCTGCCCATCATGCCTGGGCTCCCATTGGCGTGAAGCCAAAGCAAAACCAAGATCTAAGATCCCTGGAGGTGGGTGGGTGGGGACCGATGGATTTCCCATCGCCGAGATGGGCCATGGCATTGACCTCGCCTTCACTCCCCATCACACCTGTTTTACACGGGCGCCATTAGCGTTTACTTCACTGTACAAAAAGGTGAGTTGACAGCGTAGACCGACGTCAGCCCAGCCTCGCCACCAAAGTTCTAGAGTTCAAGTGTCCTGCATGACAGCGGCATGAGACCGTGATGTTATATATTGCAGTACGTAAGGCAGGGCCCGGCCTGATGTTGGAACTTGGCGTTCCCCAATTCACTAAGGAACAGCACCTGGTTCTGAGGGCGCAGCAACTTTGAGGAACCTTAATTAATGGCGCAGGTTCGAGGACGGGGTAGAACCAGCCCTGTGGGTTTCTAAGGCTGTAAATATTTATAGGAGCCGAGATCCTCCTTTTTCTACCACCAGGTGGTTGATGGGTTTGAACTTCTGCCCAACTGGTAAACGCAGAGCTCCAAATTTTCCCACCAAGAAAAAAACACACCACAACGTCCGGCTGTCATGACAAATGACGGCCACTAGATGTCAGTAGGGTCTAGCTTCACTCCGTTTTGCCAGGAGACGCTGACTTGGAAAAAGAAGCCTTTACATCTTTAAAAGACCATCAAGTGCTGCAGTGGGAGCGGCTGGGGAAGCCTCGAAATGCCTCCGAGAGACACGGAGGTGGATGTGAGGCACCGAGTCCATTAACACTAATGAGATGTGTTGGTGTCCTGCCAACCACTTCGCAGAAACGCCCTGCAGCGGGCGCTCGCAGTCTCTGAAAACGAAACGATGCAACGAAAGTCCAGGGATCCGTTTTGATTCCTTTACAATTTGTTCTAGTTTCTAATACTTTCTGCTTTCTTTTCGATTGTGGTTTCTCTCTGTTTTGCTTTGGTGCGTTTTGCTGTATAAAAAATCCGGGAGAGAAAAGTCTAGAGAGAGAGTAACTGGATTGATGGTTTCCGGCAGGGAGGTTGGGGAGAAGAGGGAAGCGAATAACAATGATCCCCAAGAAAGAAAAAAATGTTTTAAATTGGGCGGATTGTACCATTCTTAATATGATGGAACTATTGATTTGTATGGTCTGTGGATTATATGCCAATAACACCGTTAAAAAGAAAGTTCAGAGATAGGCTGACCAGGAGAATGTAACGTTTCAAGTGAAAACGTCCGCTCTGTAGAGGTAGTAAAGAACCAAGCTTTCTTACACAGCTGCAGCAGGATAATTGGCTGAAAGACAAAGAATTAAACCATGATACGTGAGGACAGGGACTTAGTGGATGTGATAGTTGGGGTGATTGTGCCAACTAGGCCAATAGGAACAAGGCAGCGGAGTTTGGTCGGTGGCAGCTGGATTGGAGGGTGACTGAAGACAGCTGGCGTCCCATCTCCATCTTGCTCTCTGGTGATTGGACCATAGAGCTGTTGCCTTGGCTAGTTCTCTATGCTCAACCACCTGTGGGCCAAGCCGACCTGTGGGTCGTCACTACAGCTTGAGGCTCCTCCGAGACGGCTTCTCCACGCTGCTGGTGCCTACGTTGCTTGAGCTTGAGCTAGTACATCCCATCTCGCTGTACTTGAGTTGGAAATGCCATCAGGGCTTGCCGTGCTAAGCTCCTGAGCTACTAAATGTTGCTGGCCCACCCTGCTACCTGTGGGCAGACTCTGCTGCTGTCTGCTTCCTTGACCTTGGACCCGGCAGCCCAAGTGAGTTGAAGGACTCCCAGTATATTAGCTGTTTCATTAAAGTGAGTTGAACTGAGCCCACTGAACAGCTGTGTGGACTAATTAGCTGTTATCGTCCTTCTTGCCATATACAGTTATCTGAAGTCATAAGTGCCCTGATTTTGTTTCCCTAGAGAAACCTGCTTACCACAGTGGACTTAAAAAATTAAAGTTTTGTCGACATATAACTCACATATCACACTTCCATAGTTCAGTCATATTAAAAAAGTTGCATAATTATTACTACCATCAGTTCTAGAATATTTTTTTCCTTCTTGAACTCATTATTAGCTGTCTTTCCCTCCAACCTCTCCTCTCAGATCCCCAATAAACCTAATTGCTACTGTCGCTATAGATTTACCAATCTTGGATTTCATATACTAAAAAACACCACCCCCACTTTTTAAAAAAACCTGAATTAAAAAAAGACCAACAATAATAATGAAGTAAACCAGAGAAATAACCTCACCTGGGGAAAAAGCAGGGATATTGAAAACTGCAACACATTTAAAGTGGGTCGAAATGGAAATAAAATGATCAGGCATTGATTACATTTTAACCTAATTACATCTGCCACAATTGAGTTTACAATACTCTAATATCAACCCTACTAACATCTTTTGACTACGGTCAGAGGATTTGCATTGAAGGTTTAATCTATGTGGGGACCCTGCGAATGGATTTGGGGCTCCCACTGTCATCCATAGCTTTCTACAAACCAGGTGTTCACAATTTAAGCATTGATACTAATCCCTCCTCGGATTTGAGTTTTCTTATTCACAATCCACATTTTTAAATAGAATTGCCTTTTACAGGATTCCATCCAGCATTGCCCCCCACGGAACCTGCTGGAAGACAAGATGAGCCATTTATCTCTCCGCCCTTCAATGAACCCCACATGTGTTTATCGGCCAGGTTGGCACAATAAACATCAACTATCTCAATTATATAATATTGTAAAAGAGTTATAGATTGGCAGAAGAGTCTCAGTGAGACTCGTTTTCTGGTTTATACAGAAAAAACTTGAGTTCTTAAGAAATAAAGAGTCAGAGAGAGAGGGGGGAAAACCAAGCATTTTTCATATATTTTGGCACACCATCAGGTCACGGAAGAGCAGGACTTAGAAAAAGCATGTCTGTTGAGTAGGGGTAAGCCTCCGAGTAGTGCACCTAATCAGGCCCTTAAAAAAAACCCCGATTGTCAGCTCAAGTGCATCATCAATAACAACTGACCAATAAGATCACAGGAAATGATCTCCCTTTGGACCCATTCTACATTGGTTCTGTTTGTCAATATTTTCTGCTGCCTTTCAGATTGAGGTTTTTCCTCTGTCATATTTGGATGTTGCTGCTGTTGTTTTGTATGTTGTTCTGTATAAGAAATCCGGGATAGGTAAAACGTAGCAGCAGTAACTGGATTCATGGTTTAACCGAGGGGAGGTTGGAGAGAAATAGGGAGCTAATATCAATGAGTACAAGAAAGAAGAAAGAAAACATTCTAAACTTGATTGTGGTGATGATTACACAACTCTTTTAATATGATTGAACGATTGCATTTTATGATATGGGAATTACATGCCAATAAAACTGTTCAAAAATGTAAAGTGGTGGGCAACAAAGTGGAAACCTACAAATCCAACAAGACCCAGTCCCAACCAGGCTCACACTTACTAGGATGGCTCAGAAGCTGAGGATTCTGGATGCCGCGCCCTGCTGACTCTTCTCTGTCTTCCATCGGTTTCTGCTCCAAGTTTTGCTCCGGTCTTAGAATCTCCAGCTCACCCGTCGCAGAAACAAACGGTCCCTGGAAAAAGTTTCTACCCCTGCAAATGGAGATCTCAAGGTGGGGCTCACTTTGCAGAGTCTAGATCGCAGTGAGGGAAGCCCTCTCCCTTCTTTGCCCATCTCCCCATGTCTGGACGTGACACTGCCTTTCCTCGTCAGAGTGTTGGCTGTCCATCCTATGGACCACCTGTAAATCCCTAAGAAACATCAGTACCGAATTTCTGAGTTTGCCATTAAGCTCCATCCCTCTCACACCTTCGGGTTCCAGTCTTACAGCCCTTCTTCTGTAGAGTTGATTGAAGGAGTCCTGGTGGCGCAGTAACGAGCTCTGGGTCTGTAGTGGGTTACGCGTTGGCTCCGCATTTGGAACCCACTAGTGACTCTGATGGAGAAACAGGAGTCTTTCTGCTCCTGTAAAGATGTACAGCCTCGGGTACCAAAGGGACAGTTCTGCTTTGTTCTTGAGGTCGCTGTGAACTCAACTCAATGACAGGGATTGTGTTTGGGTGGAGCAGCGGGTTAAGCATGGGCTGTTCATGCAAAGGGCAGTTGC